AGTCCTGAACTACAACATGAGCTACACTTCTCTCTGTAGTTGTGAGGTGTCATGCTATAATAATGTGCTTGACTCATGTGCACTGTTATAAAGAACTTGTAAGATTTACTTGAAAAAAAATCCTCGTAACAATTTGCACTAATGTTTGTTAAGTAAATTTAAATGCTACAAATTCATGTAGTATCTACTCATCATTATCTACTAAGTTATTAAGAATATAGTTAAAGTTTGTAAAATTTACCTGATTTATTCACAAATCTTTAACTATATTCTTAGTAACTTTTACTAGATAATGATGAGTAAATATTACTTGAATTTGTAGCATTGAAATTTACTTAACAAACGTTAGTGCAAATTGTTACAAAGATTTTTTTCAAGTAAATCTTACAAGTTATTTTTTCAGTGTACCTTCTGTCATCCAGGACATGGTAAATTAAAAAATGGTTAATGAACTATTGGTTTGTTTTGTTGATCATTGATCGGTTAGATCTAAATGTGTGTGTAGTCCAGCTGCTATGAGATGATGTAGTTCTGAAGGAGGTGGAGGTCCAGGATTTGTTCAGGCTCAGATGGCTGTAACAGTGAAGACATGGGTCCAGAGGCTGGTTATCAGGTTAGTAAGTCAGGCCTGGGTTTCTGCTGGAGCTGGCCTGAGATGACCACCCACTGTCAAAAACACCTGGAACAGAAGCTTCTAATGATCACATCATCAATGCATGAGCAAATCAGATGTTTTTAATGAATTCATTAGTTGCAGATGCTGAGGCACAACACTAAATGTTAGTGGGAATTCTTTCAGATTCAGTCTGAACTGATCTTAAATGCTTTGTACACTAAACAAAATGTGAATATAAACGAGGTCAGTCTAAGGATAAATGAAAAGTTTTCTTGTTGACTTGTGGAAACAAACGTGAACACTCAAACAATATGAGGCAGTTTGTCAGAGGATTTAAACTAAGAAAATCTCTTTACTGCTTCTGTTTAAACTTAAAGATTCATCAGTTTTACTGAGGTCTTATTCATGGAGATGCTTCTCAGTGAGAGTTAAGCAAAATCTAACTCTGCTTCCACATGTTGTCGACCTGAACCAGCTTAAATGAGCGTCTAAGGATTCACGTTCAAGTCGTCTGTAAATAGTTTTTCCATCTCTCTGTTGGCAGATGAAAGATATTTACTGTTCCTCTCCTCCTCTGTTGTTCCAGCTGGCCATATCCTGTCTGTCCTCCGTCCTGTCGATGGACTTCAAGGCCAGTGAGCTGGAGATTGGCATTGTCACCAAAGACAAACCTAAATTCAGGTAACTTCACTCCAACTTTCTTTCATTCAGGGTTAGGGTTAATAATGAATTTATGAGATAAAGTATGTCACCACAGAGCAGGATGAAGATGCAGTTTGTTTGGTGGTAGGGTCAGATGTTTTCATACTGTTCATGGGCATCAAGGTCGTTTATTTCAGGCCTTTAATGACTGATTTGTTTCAGGGTGGAATAATTATACAAAATGTAATTTCAATCATTGTAAAAGTCAAGAATTAGGTGCAGAATTGTGAATTTAGTGTGAGTTTCTCTAAACTGCACAGGATCAAAATGACACATCCAGGGTTGAATCTAAAAGGACCTCCATGTTTGGTTAGATGTTCCTCAAGAAGTTTTACCTTCACAGGCTTTTTTTGAAGCCATGAAGAGTCTGTCTGATGTTTGACTGCTCTCCTTGGTCAATAAATAAATAATAATAATCTGGTTGTTAGGGGTGTAAGAAAATATCAATACACTGAAATATCGCAATATTTCATTTCCCGATACTGTATCGATATTCTAAAGCCCTGTATCGATTTTTTTATTAAGGTTTAAAATGTCAACTTTCCTGCCAGCCATTCATTTTTATGTTGTAGTTCAGCCTCTGACCACTAGTTGGCAGCAGTGAGCCAGCCATTTGGCTCCTCTACCTCTTGAGGTAGACGCCATTGTTAAGTGTTGGGTGACCATATTGTAAATTAATATTAAAAACTAAAAGCTGCAAAAATATATTTTCAAACTATTTATTGTCAAATTTAGTCTAATAATTGAAAACATGGATGAAATAAGAAATATGAAACAAATAAAATAAAATACATACAAAGCAGAACACAGCTAAATGAATCAAAAGCATGTCTCTGTAATATTAGAATTTCTGAGACAATGAATTTTGGTTTTTCTTTTTTTTTTTCCCAGCAAGAGGTTTTTATTTAATAGAATTTTTGGGCAAAAAAAATCGCAATATATCGCCTTGCTTATAGTATCGCAATATATCGGGATATATCGTATCGTGACCCCTCTGTYATGATATGTATCGTATCGCCAAATTCTTGCCAATACACAGCCCTACTGGTTGTCAATCAGTTTAGTCTCTGCTCCTAAAGTTTTGTTTTGACCAACGCGTGTGAAGCATCCCGCGATAATCACCGATCGGCCAGAACCAGTTAACGTTGTTTCAGATCGCTCTTGACCCTGACCAGTGGATCGAATCCATTCAGAGGATTATATTGAATTAATAATAAAAAATTAATTGCAGCACGTTGCTGAATCGATTATTTAACTCCCCCTAATTTAGAGCAACATTGAGCTGGATCTAAGTCTTATCAAACTGTGACCCAGTGAATTGGAATTGAACTGAATTGAGGTTGTTAACAATCCCCAGCCCTACATGTGAGTCAGTAATCTGTGTTCCCTACATGCACTGCTCCTACCCAGCATTTCACACAGTTTGATCATGTTTAATCTTAATTCCATTTGATGAACATGATTTAAGTGAAATATGTCGTAGTTTCTTCTAGTGTGAATTGAAAAGAAAAGTAAACTGGACATGGGTTTTTACGATGTAAAAACAAGTGTGCATTGCCATGTAGCATGGCTTTGCCTGCAGCATTGGACTTGCAGAATTCTATACCAGCTTGTTCCTGTCACGTCAGCAGGTGTTAGTAATTAAGGTAATTGAGTGACAATATGAAGTCGGAAGATATTTTTTGTTAAAGTTGCATTAGCTGGGTTTTGAACCCTTATCTCCCACATGAAAGTCCATGACATAGACCGTTAGACTGTTGGAGCTGTGGCAAAATATGGTGGCAGGGGTTGGTTTGTATGTGTGCAGAAAGAGGCCACATTGCCAATACAATTATTGACACAAAAATGCATAATATTACAACAATAGAGCAGTATTAAGACAATATTATAGTAAAACATCAAAATACAATCATATTAGTATTGTAAACACTGAACTATTGAGATTAAATATAAAAAACTATGGTGCAGTACCAAGTTGAGTACAGCTGGGGGCAGTATTGGACCATTACAAGGCCCCTTTGACTCCCATTATATGAATTTGGAATAAAGTTTAAACATTAATATTTCAAAAACTATAAGTTGCACAGGTACCAAAAGGTATAGCAATCATTTGGCACAAGACCTTTACAGATATAAATTACAATGGCAGCTGTAGGACAAAGTATGCAGGAGGAGAAGCATGGCAAAGTTAAGATGACTTGAATGGGAAACGAATCACTGATTAACGATGCAATCTTCTGTAAAACATAAATTCATTGTCTATGACATCACAAAGGCTTTAAAATGGTATTGTGACGTTAATGGGTTCAATGGAGTTAAATCTTTTAATGTCTTTAAATTGTAGTTAAAAGTATTATCTGTGATTGGCTGAACCCTGCAGGTTGTGTTCTTAGTTTAACAAGTCTTACCTCGACTTCTCCAAACTTGTCTCCAGAAGACATTAGATGTGTCCACGTGGGCAGCTGTGCAGAGTCCACAGAGACCACCCTTACAGGTTTCCAGTTCATATTCAGGCTTGAGACTCAAAACCTGTGACAGTTTCTTTTCATGTGAGGGAATCAGATGAGTCTTGGTTAAATAAATCGCTTCCATCAAGCAAATCCTTTGAATGCTGGTAAGAATAATTCTCCAGCTTCAGTCAGTCCTGATCACTGATGACGCACAGCTTCAGCACCACTTAGGAACAGATTCAGGTGAACGTATGCCTGGAAGTCTAAATTTGACTGTAGAGTAAATAAAAGACACAATATTTTTAAATTGTGCATTAAATTTAGGTTGTTTTTTTTACTCCATCAGAGCTGTTTTGTGTATTCTCCACCCTGGAAATATCAAAATTCAAATAAATAATAATTACAGATTTAAAATTTAAATGTCATTCATTCTCATGGTGAATGTGTGTAAACATCTGACAGCAATTATTTAAAAGAAAGTTTAAAACTGATGAAAAATATTATTAAAATGTACAACCCAAAAAAATCAAAAAGTTAAAGGAGGTTTTGTTTTATTTATAGGATGATTCTTCTACCTAAACTAAGAAATCCATTATTTGCAGCAACTTTTTTACAATTTTTAAGGATGTTTAAAGCATATTTTTACCTGTTATTTGTTTTATTTTTTAATGAATCTTAGTTCATTGGGTACACATCATCAATGCTTTCAGATACAGTATACCTGAAGAGTTCAGTGATGTTTGTGTAGTTCATTTCTGTGATTTATTTTTTATATTTCTCTTCTCTTCTTGTTTTGTAGGACCCTGTCAGAGTCTGAGATTGAAGCCCACCTGGTTGCCATAGCAGAGCGGGAGTAGAGACACTCTCCCAGTTTTCAGTCCACTGTTCTTAACAGCATTTCGTCCTAAATGTCTTTTTTAGCTCAGAGTTTTTACACTGTCTCAGTCAGAAGACCACCTCTGTGTCCACAAAGATTGATCATGTTCTTATGATTAAGAAACACCGTTTTAAAGATTTGATTGTTTGATTTGTTGAGATCCAACATCTGCTGTGAGCTTTTAAAAAAGATCAAATATACAATAACAGGATGATGTTTGAACAGAATATTTTGTCACTGAGCTTATTTAAAACAGTGTCTTTGTACCTTTTTTCTTAAATTAGGGTCAAACTAATTCATTACCACTCATTAAAGAATAACCGGTCACAATAAAATAAGCAGGATTGAAGGAAAAGTGTTTCCTGTTTCCTTTCTTCTCTGTGACCAGCAGATGGCAGCAGTGAGTTTATGTTGTCGCCTGAATTCATCTTGTTGTTGGATTTATTCAGTTCATATTTTATCAAACCAGCTCCTCTGTTCAATAAGTCCTGCTGATATTTTAAAGAAAAAAACATGACAGAGGTACAGAATCAGTCGTTTCTTCATCCAGTCTATGAAATCACGTCCTGAAGTACTTCATGTGACCACTGGGTGGCAGTGTTGTGTCTGCATCCAGCAGCCTCTCCCCGTTCTATAACCTGATTTTCCTCTTTCTGTTTTTAGTTTTCCATGTAGGCAGATCTATTTTGACTCTGGTAAATAATTACACTGATCAGTCTTTTTAAAGCGAGCGTGTTGTAACGTCTTATGTGTCACTCTTCAATTTCCACTGTGACATCTTATCTGCCGCCTGAAGGTGTAAAACAAACATTTAAACTCAAACAGGGACTAAACTAAAATGTTGGAGTGTTTTATTTAAATAAAAAAAACAGTTCTTACAGTGTCACACTGTTGATGACAGTTTGAAATGAGGTTTTGTGGACAGGTTATGATTAGTTATTATCTTACCTGTTGCAGACAGATACCTCACTTTGTAGAAATAGTTTAATTCATTTCAAAGTGACAAGCAAACGGCTAGTCTGAACACATCCAAGGCTAAAGTGGATTACGGCTGTTTTAAAACAACTCTGAATGCTGTTCCCGCTATTTGTTCTTGTAAACAACAACAGAACTCTGCACACATCTTTAAATTAAAATTCATGATGGTTTAAAAATCAAAGTGTTTGCATAAACGGCTATAAAATCTTGGATAATGGAGCCGTTTTAACAAGGCAACGATCCAGTTTGATCTTTTCTATGTTTGAATGAGCCATTAGCTCTCCTGTCAGGTGGGAAATAATCTCTTTCTGCAAACTGAGGTTGAAAAGATATCTACTGCAGGTAAGGTAGTATTTCTTCATAACTTCTCCACAGAACTCCATGTCAAAATGTCAGAAGTAACTCTTTCTAGTAAAAATTAAACATAATTACAAACATTTTTTTATCCAGTCAGGCTCTTTATATAAACTCACAGTTGGAGGAGCATTAGTTACATATTATATATATAGTTTTTTTTTAATGTGACACAAACTGTTGGGTAAAAAAAATAACAGGGATATTTAAAAATGCATATTAAAATCAACCCAACATCTATACGTGCTGTTATTTCACTTATCTGATGGAAAATAAGAGAAAATACCTAAATGCTGCTGATGGCTGATCCAGTGACGAGTTAAAATAATATTTTATTGAATATGTCTGTTCTCATGGATACTTCAAACTGCAGATTTATTTAATGCAAGTTATTTACATGTCATTTAAAAAAATATGTTATCAGCCAAAATCTAACTTTTATTTGCCACTGATTGTCAAAGGGCTGTTTTTGCCCTCTGTTGGTGTGTTTGTTTGTCTGTTGTGTTAGCAAAATATCTCATGAACCACTGGGTGGATTGTGATGAAAACTTCAGACTTTCATTGGATGCACATCGACGAGTCGATCCAAAACCACGACTGTACTTAAAGAACTACTGAGCTGAGGATGAAGGTGGTGGTAGCTGAGAGTCATTCCCATCACATTCTCCAACCATCCTGTTATCTCACCCTTCTTTCCAAGATTTTATTAAATTGGCTGCAACTTTCATTTCTCATTATGTTCTCATTATAAGACGGTCCTTGACATGAGAGGCAGTCTTCATGCCAGGCCTTTTATTAACATTTGCTTCAACACAAGTCGGTCCTCTGATCTCTGAATGACAGAGGGTCTTTTCTAAAGGTGGCTGCTCGATTTGTTTTCTTGAGAGCCGTGCGTCAGCGGCACTATGAAGCAGCAGCAAAAAGCTCATGAACCAACATGGAGGACTCAGTCCAAACGGCACACTTCTCAGTTTGTTTTCATCTGGCCATTTTCTGCACCTGCTTCACACTGGACAGGTCGCAAGTTCATCACAAGAACTCTGCATTCATCAAAACCTGAAAACAGACAAAAAAAAAAAAAAACACATTAGAACCATTCAGTTTTCAAAAGTGCAGAAAAAAGGCAAGAAAAATCATCGTTCACTGTTTTTACAAACGTAGATACAAATACATTTCTTTCTCACCAGTTTTTGTTTTAAGCTAATGAAACGCCTGGCATTCCTTAAAGCCGTTTTGCTTTAAAATGAAATTAATGATGGTTTAAAAGTCTATTAAAAGTGTTTGCATAAATGGCTATAAAATCTTAAAATATAATAAAATCACAAATATTTGTTGCATCCAGTCTCATGAGGTTTCAAAACCTCAAGCTCAGGGTGTTGTGAAAATAAACTTAGCACAAAGTAAATTAGTGTTTGGTACATTATTTCTTTGTTGTAACTATGCTTCTTGGCAATAACTCTCATACAGTTGGAAAGCCTGTTAATTTCCTTTTAAACGGTGCCACATTTGTAAGGAACATGCATCTGTGGGATGAGCAGTAGAGATGAGGATGCGGGTTGCGTATGAAAAATTCACCAAATCTTTTGTGCCGAACATCTTATTTAGCTGTTGACACAGGTTCCAATCAGCCAATCTGTTATGTGATTTATTGTGAAGAGGCATATTGTTACAACGAAGAAATAATCAACCAGACACACATTTCATTATGTTAAGTGTATATTTTTGTAAAATCATAACAGAGACATATTTCTTTGTAGATTGATTGGTGTAACTGTTGATGAACTGAATTTCAAATCAATCACGTTTGTGTTTCATAGAAAAATGTTTAATTAAAAAACAATTTGTGATTTGAATAAAACATGAAAATACAAGTTTTATTTGTTGTATTTTTTACTACATTATTAGTTGACTGAGCTTAATAAATACATTAGTTTGATTATCTGAGGAAGTCTGATGTAATGCCACTAACAGTTGTTTCTCATGAAATACGTCCCCCTTGCTCCTCAGCCTCATGTTCTGCAGCTCTCCCCTCCACAGACCCCACCCCCCCCCACACACAGAACCCCCTCATGAC